ATACTAGTTTTGTGCCCGAGCTATGACCGGATTGTCCTAAGCTTTGTAGCTTGAATGTTAAATACGATCATATAATCCTTTTGATGATGTAAAATATTTAGACATACGATATCATATCGCTTATTTATACAATACTGTACTTATTTGTAAATAGATATCTATGTTATTATTAACTTGATTTTTTTTTATTGCCCTAAAATTATTTCTAACGGACTGAAAGTATTTTTACCAAACTAAATTTATTTTTTCTGATTAAAACTTATTTTTACTGATTTTCTATTTTTTATTAAAATATATTATAAATTAATCTCATTTTAAAGAACTTTAAAAATGAATTTTATGGTGGAAATAGTATTGAGTTATAAAATACTTATTAAAAGTTATAATTAATTTTGCATATATGAAATATTAGAAGTATATTGATAAAAAACACTATACAATATTTTATCTTAAAAAAGTCTATCCAAAACTCGCTTACTTAGTATCCTATTTGTCACAAAATATCTATTTGTCACCTGGCTTGATACTTGGCGAAAAACTGGAATGCCAAGTGTCGATGTCTCGTGGTCTAGCTACGAGACCGACTTTATATATTAGTGATATGATATTAGATTTATTAGAAAAGTTATATAAAATTATGATTAATCTATCAATACCAATAATTATATGTGTCAATAAGATCCAATATAGTATACACGTAGTTTTATGTAATTTGTTAATTTATAAATAGTTATAATATAATTTATTTAATTTGATTTAATTTTAACCCACTTATATAAAATACTAGATTCGCCTCTGTCCACGGAAATCTATTAACTTATACTAAAAGTAAATCCTTCCATGACACTTGTCATTACCTTGTAATAAATTTTCCCACCTTTTTCGCTTCTCTTTTTTTTTTTTTTTTTTTTTTTTTTTGCAAAATCTTTAAGTAAATTATTTATACTTTATGATTTTTTTTTTTCCACTTTGACAATCATATTCCATATATATCCAAATAAAATATTTCTGAATATCTTTTATATACTTTATATTTTGTAATATTATTGTCAATAATATTGAACAACTGTGCATTGCACGGGATTTTAACCTAGTCTCAAATAAGCTGATCTCCCTCGTATTGGTTGACGTGTAGCATAAGCATAAAAATACCGTTTATATTTCATAATTGGATCCCACAACCAGTGCGCAAAGCTTGTTCAAATTAGCGACCCTCAAGCTTTTTTGGAAAAATTAATTGACGATTCTATAACCGGCGTAATCAATGGTAGGTACATACGTATAGTTGAGCAAAGTTAACCTTTGCGAATTAGTTGTACGAACCAAGTGTGGAAACCAGGTTTATCTGGTTATGGTGGTTAACCACTACTTGATCAGTATTAACTGCAATACGTAACAATAGATAAGATATAAGTATTATAAATTGATATTAGGCATTAATATTGTTGAAAGAAAAGCATAAAGATAGAGATGTCTAGAAGATATTTAGTAACCTTTAAATTTGAAAATAGGGTCCATTCTTACCCATTTATATTAGAGCACATTGCGGTTAATCATATAAGGAAAAAAAAAAAAATAGAGTACAAGTAGGCACGAAAAGGTAATGTGGGATGAAGAGCAGTTAAGGGGAATGGATAAGATTAATTATGTTAGGACTAGTTACTTCTGTTATGTATCTATGAATAAGAATTCCTTTTTAATTTTCCAAGTCAATTTTTTCAAACACTTGTGAATTATTGCTAATAATTTTTTTTTTTTTTTCATGTATTAAAAGGAAAGTCTTCGTGGTCAACCTCATTTCAAGCTCAAAATATACGCAATTGATAGTCCTTTATACTCTATTGCATAAAGCATCATATTTCATATACGTAGTAGTTGTGCAAACTAGAGGCACAATTACCTAGAGGTGTCAATAATTCGAGTGCTTAAGTCAAATCCGATGTATTTCAAAGTTATATTATTGTATCAATGTGAGTCAAAATCTAAATCGAGTTTTTTTTATTTCTTTTTTATTTTGAGTCGGATCGTGTCGGGTCTGATTTTGACACCTTCAAGCATTACCATAGAATAATGAAATAGGAGCTCACATCACATAATACCAAGTTTCGTTCCAAAATTGTAATTATATTTTAGCTAAAGACCTGTTTATTATTGTAATCTCAAGTCGTTATTTCTGTGCAATGATTGGATTTGTTTTTTAGTTACATACTATAGAATCGTTGTTGGCATCATGCCAAGGGGAAGGAATATAATTATCAACAAGAATCATTTCGTTATGATTTGGATTTTTATGAATTATTTGTCCTATGTTTTTTTTTATAGTTGTCATGTTTTTTATTTTAGCACTACTTACACTTTTTTCTTTATAAGCGTGTTTTGTGATTAATACGTAATAAAAAATATAGTCATGTGGAATTTTAACTATCGGTAATTAAAGATATTAATGGTTGAATTTGGGAGTCATTGACAAACGTGACTAAAGAAACGTGTCAACTAAAAATAACGAAGGAAATATTATATATATATATATATATATATATATATATTAGGACGGACTAAACCACTACTTAGTACTTATACCGGCAGATGTTCCACGTGGAATGTGTGGACGGTGGGGGCGTGAATTAACACAATCGTAGGTAATAATATTAAACTTATTACCATTAATATCGGCTCCTACCTAGAAGCGAATAATGTCACTTGATGTAAGATTGTGCATAGTGGTGAAATCTATCCAAGGTGATCCCAAAGAAGCTGATCTCCTTCGTCGTCGTGCTCGTCTTCGTGGTGGACGTAGACGTATATCATAAGCGTTAAAACTCCAATTTGTTTGAAACACAGGATCCCAGAACAAGTTGTGCCCCTCGTGTAGATGAGGATACAATATCCCTGTAGCTACGCGAGGGTCATAATTCATTCTTTATGAATAATCGACATAATTTAAAAATTTAGAATCTACTCGTCTTAACACGTGGAATATTTCTAAACAATGTTGAAACTTATTAAAAGTGACAGAAGTTTATGGTTAATTAATTTGATCGAGAGTTAAGGGTTTTTAAGTTCTTAGGTTGTGCTATTTCATTAAAAAAAATCAATATATTGTATCTAAAAAAAAAAAACAATATATTGTAAGGTGTCAGTAAGTAATTATGTAATCACAAATAATTTTCAAAGTGGGTGATTTTTCAAATTCATGTTCATGTCATACTAATCATTTATTTAAGTCCTTGATTTGCTCTTTCCTTACCAATTAAGATCTTAACCCACTAATGATGGAGGCCATATAAAAGCACACATTTTATTAGCTATTAAAACCTAATAATTATATGAATTTGTATTTAAATTCAAATATTCATGCCCTCTTAATCACGCGATTTTACCGTTTGAATCAAAGCCCATTTCATATATTCACTTTTTGTTTTCTTCCTCTTTAACATTGCACCAAACCAATGAATGATGAATAATAATGTGCAAACATTGGATGATCAAGAAGTTAGCAAAGTTGCAAGGCAAAGGTATGGGCTTTCAAGTTTCTTTTCCATTTTCGCATTATATGATCGTAATACTTCCATTCGTTTATGTTCTATCCACTTTCGTTTTCATCTACGAAATCATAGTTTTAGTACAGTATGTAAATAAAGTCGTAAAGGGCAAGAGTTTTCACTCGTACAATATTTAAGCCCATATGCTTACAAGGTACAAACACATGGATATAAAAATATACTTGGTCGTTGTACCAAACACAAAGTACAACTGGATTATATATAGAAAATTGTCGTAAACGGTAGAGAAAGTACTCCGTATTAGTTTATTTTGAAAGTGGAATTTTATAATGCATAGTATACTTAAGATTTAGTCATCATGGGTTTTAATAGTCTACTATTATGGTCCTCAACCATTTTTCTACCTCATTATTTAAAAGGAATTATACTTTTAATTATTCTGATGAATACGTTATAATTCATTTAAACAATCTTTAAATAGAATTCAACTGAAATTATGAACACCATTATTCTAAACATGCCACCCACAACTCAAAGCTAAGGCAAAGAAAGAAAAGACAGCAAAAATATTGATGATAGATTCTGTAAATTCATCCTCAACAAGTCAATATACTCGTGAAAATAGAGTCCATTATTTCTCTGAATGCATTACCATTCTTTTCTTTTTTCAGTGATGTGCAAATGTTCATATATCAATGACGAAGATTTGAAGAATCGGAGAAACAGAGTTGCTCTTCCTTCCTCGGCCTCATCCTCTCGAGTCACGACACCAACTAACCCGGTTTCATCCCCTTCATCATCAGCCTCACAAAGAGAGATTTTCACTACTACATATATCTCTTCACCAAGATCATCATCACCAAGGGCAGGGGCTAACACTTCTAGAAGCTCATCATCACCGCGACAATCAGAAGCACTGGAAGCCAAATCAACGACTTGGATATCGAAGGATGAGGCTAGGAGTGGTGGTAACAACACCCCTAGACTATTCCTCTCAAAACTCAAGCCAAGGAAGCTTAAAAGGCGCATTAATATTGGCTCGACACTGTCTATTAGCAGTGGTTCAGGTGATGTAGAGGAAGCTGATTGGCCTCCCTTTGCTGATGAAGACTACATTGTTTTCTGCTTCGAAGAGGACGGTGCATTTCATGTTATAGAGGATAGCCCAATGGCTAACAGTCCAAAGGTAAGGTTACATCAAACTTTTTACAGATTGTTTGTGCGTGATTCGTGAACATAGTGGAACGACTTCCTCTTCATTACTGATCAGTAGAAATTAACGGGGTATGGGAGTACAATCTCCAATCCCTTTCCCCTTAAACCTTAATCGATCTTATTCCAACGACTGAATGGTCTAATAACTAAAGAGAATCCTCACACTAACATAGTAGTAGACTAGTCATAGTAATGAAATCACAAGAGGGTGTCTGATGACTGATCTAATTTTTTTATGGGAAAATGGGATTTGAACAGCTTCAATGTGAAGAACATGGGAACCTCGCCTGCATGTGTAGTGACGAGAACAAGGATGTAAACTACCTGAGCCTTATATATAGAAGAGACTGTTTCTTACCAAATAAAGAGGTTAGATATGAATCCCTTAAAGCATGTTAGGAGTAAGTTATTCCTTAGTCGATAATACAGGTTTTGTACTGATCTGATGACATTGGTGATTGGCTGCAGGCTGAGGAAGAGATGAGTCCTAAGCTGCACCACAATGGAACTGATATTAGTGATCATTTGTTGGAAAATAACAAATTCGTACATGATATTGAATCGACTGAATCGATGGAATGCAGAAATGGATCAGTTGAATCAACAGCGTCTAGTAAATTGGATTATGAAGAGCAGTTCCAGATTGAACATAACACTGAAGTAGAACTTTCATCATCCCCCTGGAACGTGATAGACCAAGACGGCAACAATGTCAATGCTCTTCTAGCTTTTAGGAGAGACTGTTTGTTACCCAACACAGAGGTAAGAACAACTATTCTCGTACAAGAATTCAACTTTTTTGGCTCATTTTCATTGATATCTTTTGTGTGTTTCTGTCAATTTTCAGATTGATGAGGAAGATATCTTTTTGAGTCCGAAATCTAAAATGGGAGTTATGATAAGGATTGATGACCTGTTGAAGGGAGATAATGATATGTCAAGCATAGAGTCTGATCAATCCAGTGGCTTCAGTGGATCAGATTCTATGGGTGATCAAGACGATCAACTCGAGGGGAATGAAGAGCTGGCTTCAGAGTCTGCTAAATCAAGCACATCGAATATATCGAATACCAGCTCAACCTCTTTTGAATTCCCTGTGTAAGTTAATTTTTAGATTCAAAAGAAGAAAATTCAAGGTTTGATTACTGATAATATGCTGACAATATGAATGTTGGTCATGTTTTTGCAGATTGGAATGGGCGTGGATGGGTAGTCCAGTTACATGGCCAAGATCAGGGAGGGCAGGGTTCAGAAAGTACAAATCTCGCCCAGCGTGTCTCAGATGCTGTAAATTCTGAAAAAATTTCCCAAATTTACATTTTTTTTTCCCCTTTCCTCAAAACCTCCCACCCCAAATTAGGAAATTATCGCTGGAAAATTAAGCGTGCGTGCCTCCTTCATGGTGTTGATACTTTCGTTTAACTGAAGTACATTTTTTGCAAACAAATCTTAGGAATAAATTCAATACAGGGCCACAGGGGATCAGAGACATTGAAATCCAAATCTAGTAACTTTTTCACCATTCACATTGCACGCAGTTCGTACAGTAAAAACAACTCTCACACAGATGAAACATGAGAATTGGTCATTCCCAAACAAGTGCTACTCCGTACCTCTTTACTTTCTTTTTAAACATATAAACAATGCGGTTCAAAAGCCAAACAAAGAGGGCTGCCTGATCTTATTTTGTGATGGTGACAGCAAATCCTGAAGACGTCAAATGAGTCTCCATGAATGAACTGCCTTGCATGATAAAGATGTGATCACCACAAGCTTGCCTGCATAATTTTATAATACAGTAGTGGCTGGGCGTTAAGACTCAGCATTGGCACTAAAAACAATCGACTGAAGATGTAACCTTGCTCTAGCTGCGGCAAGAAGTGATTCCTCGTCTTGCCTCTCTTTAGCCATAGCAACCGCTGCAACATAAGCTTCCCTTGCCTCCTCCATCTTTTGCAGATCAGTTTCATCGACATTGTCCTATTGAAATCAACATATTTAATTGTAAATCAGGTTGGGTTAAGATCAAGTCATGTAATTTCGGTCTTAGTAAACAGCTTCTAAAATGCTTGAATAAAGTTGATGTTGTTTAGATCTTGAGGGTTCAATTCTACAGCATCTACCTATAAAATACGAGTATGACAGAACAGGATATATGTTAGTACTGTACTACTGTGGGAGATTGAAGACTTACTATGTCAGGGAGCTGATCCACATAGTATGGTGAAGTGTCATAATCCTCACTCGGTGTGAATGCGTCGTCCTTTGACAATCCTTCAAATATATGCATTAATGATGAAATCTGCAATTGCAGGGCATCTAACTCTTCTTGGAGCCTCTCTGCCTTCTCATTGGATGTCTTTGCTTCCCACTGTAACTTCTCGACAGCTGCTTGTTTGTCTGCCAGCTTTATCTGAGTAAAAATAACAAGACAATATTCAAAAAAACAATTGATTGCATTAAAATATGGCAAAGTTGAAGATACGCTTTTACAGAACACTATGGGTAAAATAAGCCTCTTTCATTGTGACTAACTGAAGTCTATAAATTGAGAATTGGCTCTATAAGGGTAAGAGAAAGGGGAAGAGGCAAGGAAAACAGGGAAAAGACAAAAAAGATTCCTGAAAAATGGGAAAAAAAAATAGTGATTCTAACTAAAGTCTATAAATTGAGAATTGGCTCTAATTAGGGTATGAGAAAGAATAAGAGGTAAGGAGACTAGGGAAAGACTCAGATTAAAGGGGAAAAACAACACAAGATTAAAGGAGGAGGCACCACAAAAAAGACTCAGATTAATTTTTTTTTTTTTTTTTTTTTTTTTTTTTTTTTTTTTTTTATAAATTCTACCAGTATAGAGTATGAAGATTAATTGATAATATATGAAACACATAATTGAAGCTATAGAATTTCCTAAGTTCTACTCACTTGCATTTTTTGCATTTTACACCGTTTCCAATGCACTACTTTGGCCATTAATATCTTTAATTTGAGTATTAATAAAGTCATACAAAGTTGATATTGAAAATTCATAACAATATGAATCTATTAAGATTCAACTTGATAATGTTTTTTCTTATCTATTAATAACTAAAACAAAACATTGCTGACATCATCAACCCTCAAACTGTCCTACGTGTCATTCTCCCATTAAAAATTTTCCCTCCAATTCTATGTGTGATGTCATCATGGTTTTTTTATATTTATTTTTAATCTACACTTTTGACTTCAATGCATAAGTGCCTACATAATAAAATTCAATTAACCAAGTTTCTCTTCTAAATTATAGTTTCACATACCTAATTTGTTTGGCGTTTGATCGTGGTTTCAATTTTTTTTTACTTTCCTTAAATGTAAATTACTTTTGTATCTAATTTTAATCTTCATATAATGTAATACAAAAGAACATAAATTACAAGAAACATTTATTCCAATCGTGCATCGCACGGGGATAATCTAGTAAATGGGTTAATGACATTATATTAACAAACCATCATTCAGCCATTCAGTAAGTAAATGCTTAAATCCCTAGTGTCCTCAAGTCTCAAGAGCATTAACTGTTCAAATTCAGGACAACACTCGATGGTCAAATAAGACAAGTTCAGCTTTGAGATCCTCATGAACTTCAACATTAACTCATTGTTCAAACACTGTCTATCCATCCCTTCACAAAAGAAAGACCAAAGATATCTCTACAGAAAAACAGTTCAGTAACAATCAAGAGTGACCAGAGTCAAGAGTCTCAAGACTCCTATAATACTTTTTTATATGAATCACTCCAACTAGACACTATTTCAGAATTAGCCTTCTAGAGCCCTGGTAACTTCTCCCTGTCCTCTGATCAGATTATAACTAGAAAAGAAGTGAATCCTATGAACAACACCCCTTTCCTATCCACAACGCCATATTATGTATTCCAATTCATACCTGCACTTACATAAAGTCCTAGATGAACAAATCTTTAAACAATAACATCAATCGAATCCTTAATCCAAAATATAGAGTCAGCTACATGAACCAAGATTTTATCTCCTGTACTCATTAACAATGATCCTCTACTTAAATCCCACTCTGTCCAATGTTAAATGTTCCTGCAAACCCAACTTCATCATATACTTCTTAACTCCTTCCATCCAAGAGATGACCCCAAGAAAAAAAAAAAAAAAAAAAAAGAAGAAGATGAACGGGCTGTAGGCCTGAAAGACAAATATAGAAAGAAACTATTTCAACACAGCCCATTTCTCAAATTAAAAAGCTGAAAGTTCAGATACAAATGTTCCAACCTGCCTTGCTTTCTCATATGTGACAACCCCTCACCAGCCTCCCCCTCTATTATACTGATGTTCGCAATTTTCCATTAATGGGCTCACCCCATCAGGATTCAATAATTACTTTAACTTCTAATGTAACAACACCAACAATTCCCCAAACTTCCAACTCCAGCAAACTGGTGACAATTAAACCCTTTAAATAATCTTGCAGTTGGCAATATGTAGTTAATGATAAGATTCATAAGAAGTCTTCTGTTAGGAAGAAAGAAAGACCCATCCACTAGACCACCTGTCTACTGACTATGGCCCTCCGTGAGTTTATACAGGTTAAAATACACGAAATTATACCATGGGTCTAGATGGGCTATGTAAATGCATTGATGCAGTATACACTATACACTGTCAGTACCCAAATAAAAAGGTTGTGATGTACAATGGCAACAGACAAGAAACTTGATACAAAAAATTTTAACATGGACTATGCTAGAGTTTGAAGGGCAATGATACGAGAAGCTGCAACGGTTTCACAGATAACAGAAACAGACAAGAGTGTAGTCCTGCCATTGCCCCGGTGCTTAAAGATATCTAATAGAACCTTTTCCAAAGACATCAAGGATTCAAGGCTACTTGTCACATATGTTCATAATGTCTACATTATTAGTTCTCAGAGAATCCCAAGAGTATACAGCTCGTAAGCTCAAGCAGGGCCAGGTAAACTGCACACCTTATAAAACTTCAAGCAATTTTAAAATTATGCCAGTCACAACTATGAGAGTAGCATCATGTTATAATTTTAAGCAACTGGTCCACAAGAGCTGCATAATCTATTAGCAACATGCAGAAAAGCAAGAATACCTAATAGCTATAATTTTATACATGAAAAGAGCAAAGACATCAAGACACAGTAAATAAAAACCAGGCAGAGCAATACCTTGGCATCATTTAGTTGCGATAGACTTGACTTAACCAGAGAATCCTTTTCAGAGGCGAATTGCTTCAACTCGTTTACTTGTGACTGAATCAAATTAATCTGATTCTTAGACTTCTCTGCTGCTTTTAAGAGTTCATCTTTTTCCGCCAATTGCCGGCGTAGATCCTCTACCTGCTCCCGAAGAGAGTTCAACTCCTCTTTTTCTGCAGCCATAGTTGCTGAGGAAACTGATTGATCATCTGGAGATCCATCTGTATCATTCTTAGAATACTTGTCTTGTACTTTGTCCGCATGCTTAGACTTAACTCCATTCCTACTATTCTGATGAAAGCAAAATAAAACCCATTTAAAAAATTGTCCAAAGCACACAAATTCGCAATCATTTTCACAAATTGGGTCACATCAACTCCATACTCCATGGTTATACTTAAGATTTATAATCAAAATGCTTGCTTGCTTGAACGCCTTAATCACTTCAATTACGCAACAGAATGACATCAATTGGATAAATCAAAAGTGAACGCAAGCAACGTGACTCTCTAAGATGCAATCAATCTACTTCGTAATGACTAATAATGTAGCTCGAAACTTGAACAAAGTTGATACATTTCTTTACTTTCTCATGCATTAAACATCCCAAATTCTTCATTCATTTTTCATACATTGCACAATTATCATATCATCCTTGCATTTACATTTTTGACATACTCGCTTTAGCACGTTTGGCAATTTCATAACCCCCACCCCCCCCCCCTCCCCAAATGCCAGGTTAAACATTAACAATCCTACACAAGTTTTAATTTTAATGCCGGTGTTAACTACCTTAGTAGGTTAAGTTTTCGGGATGGTAACCAACAACCCGGAATCAATTTAAATGCCCATTACAACACCCTATATGCATAAAAATGCAAAATTTTACCTTCTTGGAATCTCTAGAAGGCGTCTTGGTATAAATCATGGAACCCCGTCTGGTAAATGAGCTGGTAGCGTTCCGATCCTATAATTTAAATCAAAATCAAATTAAATTTCACACAATTACAAAAAAATTCCCAGAAATTAGGGCAATGTAGAATGAATTAATCCCAAATCAAAGAAAGAGACCGAAGAAGAACTATTGCCACAGAAAGCGAGACAAAATCTCGAAATTTTCCCCATAATAATAATTTCATCCTCTTCTTCCACATTTCGC